CACCAGTTTTGTACAGGATTCAAATTTCTCCACCATCCTTGCCAACACTTGTTAGTTTACCTTTTAAAGATTATACCCATCCTAGTAAGTGTGAAGTGGTATCTGATTGCAGTTTTGATTTCATTTCCCTAGTGACTAATGATGTTGAGATATTTTCCTGGGTGAATTGGCCATTTGCATATTTTCTTTGGAGAAGTGTTTATTCAAGTTTTGCCCATTTTTTAATTGAGTTGTCTTTTTGTTGTTGAGTTTTAGGAATTTAAAAAAAATATATATTTTATTGATTTTTCACAGAGAGGAAGAGAGATAGAGAGCCAGAAACATCGATGAAAGAGAATCATCGATCAGCTGCCTCTTGCCCCCCCCCCCCCCACACACACACAGGGGATGTGCCTGCAACCAAGGCACTTGCCCTTGACCGGAATTGAATCTGGGACCCTTCAATCCCCAGGCCGACGCTCTATCCACTGAGCCAAACTGGTCCTGGTGAGTTTTAGGAATTTTTAAATATATTCTGAATATTAAGCCTTTATCAGATATATGACTTAAAAATTTCCCCCTCATTTTGTAGGTTGCTATTTTTTTACTTTTCTGATAATGTTCTTTGATGAACAGAAGTTTTATTGTTTTTGTTATTAATCCTCACCTGAGGATATTGTTGTTTTTTCCAATTCTTTTTCAGAGACAGTAGAAAGGAGGAAGTGAGTGAGGGCGGGGTGGGGGAGAAAGCATTGATGTGCTCCCAAACACGCCCTGACCAGGGCTGGGAATCGAATCTGCAACCCAGTTGAACCCAGGAGTCTTCCGTGTGCAGGCCAATGCTCTGACCACTGAGACACATTTGCCAGGGCAGAACAAAAGTTTTTTATGAAGTCCAATTTATCTATTTTTTGTTGTTGTTGCTCATGCTTTTGGTGTCGTATCTAAGAATCCATTACAATCCAAGATCATAAATATTTACCACTATGTGTTCTTTGAAAACTTTCATGGTTTTAGCTCTTATATTTAGGTTATTGATCCATTTTGAGTTAATTTTTTTTTTAAATGGTGAGGTAGGAATTCAACTTGATTTTTTTGCATATGAAAATCTGGTTGTCCCAGCACCGACTTCTTACCCCTGCTTTTAATTTACATAAAATGGTTGGGGGCATTTTGCAACTTTCCAAAATTATTCCTAATATCAAGAATTGAATATCTAATTGAATATCTACATTTTGAAAGTATTTGATTAATTGAATTTTCCAGATTGAATTCCTATGCAGTAAACTGCTACTTCTTAAGAGGAGAAAATCATAGAATTGCTTCATTAGAACTGGTAAGTGGAAACTTTTAAAATTTGAGAGTAGCCGAAACCGGTTTGGCTCAGCGGTAGAGCGTCGGTCTGTGGACTGAAAGGTCCCAGGTTCGATTCTGGTCAAGGGCATGTACATTGGATGCGGGCACATCCCTGGTTGGGGGTGTGCAGGAGGCAGCTGGTCGATGTTTCTCTCTCATCGACGTTTCTAGCTCTCTATCTCTCTCCCTTCCTCTCTGTAAAAAAAATCAATAAAATATTTTTAAAAAATTGAGAGTAATCTTTGGTGATTTAATAAAAGGGATAAACTAAAGATCTTTATTAAAATAAGGAGACAATCTGCATTAAAATACAAAAATATTTGAGCTAATGACTTCACTTACTGCTTTCAAATGCTTAACAGGCTATGGAGATTCCTATTTTCCACCTTCACATGAACAGAGCTAGAGAAAAAACAAATTTAACTTGTAATTGAAAAGACTTTATTTTGATATCGAAAAAAAGCAATATTGCTTACTGAGCACCAACCACAATGTGTCAGGCACTGTTTTGAGTCCCACGAAGTAGGTACTATTATCACAGATGAACGTGGACTTGAACCCAAGGAATCCAACCCTGTGCCCAGGCTTATTTCACTTACACTAAATAAGCTGTTAAAGTGAACTAACATTAGAACACCCCATCCCTTCTGAGAAAAACAATTACTTCTTCAAAGGAGAATTTAAAAATAGGTTGGACATTTATCAGTCCAATGAAACTCATAATCCTGACACATTTGACAACATCAAACTTTGAATTCTGTTTAAATACTTTTTTTTTTAGCAGAATAGTCTGTGTCCACTCTTACCTTCCTCCCTTTTCTAACATGCCCAACAGAGTACTTTCAACTGTTTTTGGAACATATATGGACAGATGCCCAATGACACATCGGGAGGAAACATACTAGCTTTTTATTCCTTTATAACCTTTGGAGCTTTGTTTTAATAATTCACGGAGACATTAACCTTTCAGGTGGATTTAATACAATTTTGTTTGTGTTCTGAAACCAAGGACATCGGAGTATTTATTCCCTACTGAATAGAGCATTGTGTTCACGTACCTTTGTTTTCTCTGAAAACAGCTCTTCACCTTGATACATCTCCTTGGGGCTGGAGTGTGTGGGCTGCTACACATTGTTCCCTCAGTAGGAGATAATGTGATGTGCTCCAACAGGTGTGCTGTTGTAACAATACCCCAAATTTCTTAACCCCCTGGCTCCCTTCACAGCATCACTTCCATGGTACTCTCTTGGCCGAGTCTGTAAAGAAAGATGTAATTGTTTCTGTAATAGGAAACAGGTTGAAATGGCAAGATTTTCACCCGAGACATAGCAGTGTTAGTGGCAGACTAAGAACTCTAACCTGCATCGTCTGATTATAGAAGGAAGTTAAGAGCAGCCGTTTCCAACTATAGAGATTTTGCCTTATTTCTCTGGGTTACATTTGGAAATACATTTTCCTCTGGGATACATTTGAGACATTTTTTGGTTGTCACAAGTGGAGACAGGAGGTGGCAGAGGCCAGGAATGCTGCTAGAATTTTCCAGTCCAAAATGTCAAGGGTGCCACTGTTGAGAAACCCTGCTTTAAAATAATGAAAATTACTTTGTGAGGTATGTGATTGTCTGGCCACTGTGCTGTACACCTGAAACCAATGTGGAATAATGATGGAAGTGGATTGTGGTTGAAAAATAATTTAAAAGATAATTAAAAAAAAAAAAAAAAGATTGCATTGCAGCTTGTCCCTTCTACCCAACCTTCATTTCTTCCTTTCCTGGAGTCAGACTTGCAGTACGGTCTGATGGTTTTCCAAGCCTTTCCCAGCTTCCTTCCTGTTCTCTTTCACAGGCATTTTTACCTAATAAATTTCTTGCACCATTAACTGAAAATAAAATGAAGATTGGATTTGAATCCTGCTCTCCACCTTATTTTGTGACCTTGGGAAAGTGGAATTTTTCAGAGCCTGCTTTTTCATCTGAAAAATATTAACAACTGTTACGCCCAGACTTCATGATCCCCAAGGACCACCAGGGAGCCGAGTCTGATGCAATAAACAAAAGAGCCTTTCCCATGCTAGCATGGGCTCCTCCCACTCACGCCGGCAGCATGGCGGAAGAGAGCGAATTTCGCCCAGTCCAGGGGTTTTACTCCGGTCGGTGGTGATGTCACTGCCTCGGCTAACCCTGATTGGTTGGGTGAGGGCTAGGGATAACTCCGCCCTGCGGGACGGAGTTGGGAGTTCATCCTCGCCCTGCCCTTTCACAACCAAAACCACCGTCACCATAAACGAACAAATCCAAACAAACAAACCCACTTTCTAGAGTGGTTGGGAGAGACCAACTCTAAAGCACTGGACAGATAGCGTTCAATTATGAACAAGACGGAAGCAGAGAACGACAGAAAGTTAATGTAACTGAAATAAAAAAAGGCTTTTTAAAAAATATGTTTTTATTGATTTTTTACAGCGAGGAAGAAAGAGGGATAGAGAGTTAGAAACATCGATGAGAATCATTGATCAGCTGCCTCTTGCACACCCTCCACTGGGGATATGCCCGCAACCAAGGTACATGCCCTTGACCAGAATCGAACCTGGGACCTTTCAGTCTGAAGGCCGACACTCTATCCACTGAGCCAAACCGGTTTTGGCAAAAAAGACGGCTTTTTATAGGGAATAAAAGCAACAGAGATGGAGAGAAGCACAAGAGAATTAAGCAGCATTGAATATGTACTAGGAGGATAAGGGAAGAGACAGATGATGACACTGGGAGGGCTGTACAGATCAGAAAGATTTCAGCAGTGACTTGGAGATAAATTTGAGAAATAATTGGGAGGAATCAGAAGAATTTGGTGAGCAATTACAAAAAGGCCATGAGAGGAGTCTAGGATGATTATGAGATTCCTGACTTGGGTGCTTGGTTGTCGGTAAAGATAGTCAACCAGTTAAGGAAATGAAAGGGCAGGGAAAATCGACAGATCAACAATGGGATGAAAGCTGGCATGATCATTTTGAGGCAAGAGGAGACTGACCTCTCTCTCCAATCTCGGTAAAGGAGGCCAGTTGGGCATGGATGTAATAGGTCTGGAGGAATGAGGAAGCATGGGCCAGAGAAAGTTGATATTGTAGAATCCCACTTTTCACTGGCAAGCTCTGTTCCTAGTATATGATTCAGTACATGAGGGAAAGTAGGGGCAGGGAATAACCTTTAAGGGTTGGGGAAGTACTTTGACAAATTAGGGAAAGTGAGTAGAGACTACAACTTCAAGAAGCTGGCATGTAAGAGACATCTCAGAGTACTAAGGTAACCTAGAAATGTACATCCAATTCTTTCCAGATCAGCCACAGAACCCATTCTTAGAAGCAATCAACTAAAAGTTGTTTGAAAGCGGGGTATTGTGTGTGGGATGACCAGCCAAATTCCCAATTAAACTGGGCATGGGATCAGTTACAAATGTGGGCCAGGTATGTCATCTCCTTGTATCAGAGAGAGCATATCCTCAGGGATTTTTAGGGAGCCCTCAACATCAGAGTTGTAGTCACGCAGAAATTTGAGTTTACTTCCCACAGTCCCATAATCAAGACAGTAGAAATAAATGATCAGTAGAATAAAAATAAATGAATTATGATGAAATTTTCTTTTGCAGAATCTTATCTTCTTTTGAGCCTACACCATGAGCTGGACATTCCTCAGAGACCTCCTAAGTGGAGTAAATAAATACTCAACTGGGATTGGGAAGATTTGGCTGACGGTTGTGTTCGTCTTCCGTTTGCTGGTCTACATGGTGGCAGCAGAGCATGTGTGGAAAGATGAGCAGAAAGAGTTTGAGTGCAACATTAGACAGCCTGGGTGTGAAAACGTGTGCTTTGACTACTTCTTCCCCATCTCCCAGGTCAGACTTTGGGCCTTACAACTGATCATGGTCTCCACGCCGTCCCTTCTGGTGGTTCTACATGTAGCCTATCGTGAGGGTAGAGAGAAAAGGCACAGAAAGAAACTGTATGTTAGCCTAGGTACGATGGATGGGGGCCTGTGGTACACTTACCTTACCAGTCTCCTTGTTAAAATTGGTTTTGAAATTGGCTTCTTGGTTTTATTTTACAAGCTGTATGACGGCTTTAGTGTTCCTTACCTTATGAAGTGTGATCTGAAGCCTTGTCCCAACACTGTGGACTGCTTCATGTCCAAACCCACCGAGAAAACCGTCTTCATCCTCTTCATGGTGGTTACCTCGTGCCTGTGTATTGTGTTGAATTTCACTGAACTGAGCTTTTTGGTTCTCAAGTGCCTTCTTAAGTGCTATCTCCAAAAATACTCTATAAGACCCAAGTCCTTAGTGTGTGAGTGCCCCAACCTTAGATATGTTGAATGTGATGAGGTAGGGGCCTCTCCACTACTCCAGAATCACCATTCAGCCTCTGCCATAAGCACAACCCAGGGAAGTGAAACAAAGCTACTTTGCAACACACTAGAAGGTTAAACAAAGAAAACCTGCAGCCCTCCTAAGCACGAACTAGGTTGGGATGGGAAACAAAGTGTGTCAGCCTTCATGTAATTTGGGAGGAATTAATACAATTTTCAATATGTGCTCAATCATGTATACCAATCAGAGATCTCGTTGTTTTGCTGCAGGGTTCATGTGGGTACATGAATTGTGTTTGAATAGTTAATTGCAAATTATAATAGTCTGAAGAAACCCAGCTAACAGCATCCTCCTAAGTGCTTAGGTCTGTCAAGTGGAAAGTATAAGAAGTGACACTTCTGACAAATGTGATGGCCTCCAAGGTGCCATTGAGGCGCTGGCAAGCATCCCAAAGCAGCAGCCCCAGCTCCATTCACTCAGCCTCCCCCAATCCCCCCACTCCCCCTGCAGAGAAAGGCTGGAGAGGGCGGGATGGCCACTAACCAGGGGCCCAGGAGCCTGTTCAGCTAGAAGGCCCAGTCAGGGGAAGAGGCCACAGAGCACACAGCTCTGCGGTTTAGGTGTCCCTGGACATCGGAAAGGGTCACCCTAGAGCCCTGATGGAGGCAGGTCCCACAGGAAAAGCACATTGATCGGGAGTGGGGGAGGACCCAGAAAAAGAATATGCCCATTTAACACTCTAACCACAGAATTTGAAAACACCTTATACATTTCCAGATTATTGGACCTTTTATGATCAGGAATTCACAATGTCATACAATGTGTCATAGCTTGCCTACAATTTATTAGTATATCTCCCCTCCCTCGAGAATGGAAAATTGTGTGCTATGCTGTTACTTTCCTATTTTAAAAAATTATATCTCTTTGAATTTAATATTCTAACATATGTGCATTTCTCCAGAATAAAAATGGCTTTGTGGTGTTGTTCGACTGTCATTGATAGCTTTACTTGGCTAAACCTAGGATGATTATTTTGTGAATTTCTGACAGTTAGAACAGGATTTGCAACCCTGCTTGGTAAAGATAGCTCAGAAATCATTTTTCTCTATCAGAAACTTTTAAACAAGAATTCAGTGCATATAAATGCCACTGTCATATGTTTCATGGCCTGCCCGCTAGCATAAAGTGTCTCCCTACAAATCGTGCATAATGAAGGTTATTTGTGTTAGGTGGTCTGCAGACCATGCCACCATCAGTGGTCATAATCTTTCCTAGACTGTGTCCATGATTTCCCCTTTCCTTTAGTTTACAGCACTGATTACTGCTGGACTCATGAGCTCACATCCATGTACTTTACCATTTTACATTAAAGGAACTTTTTTTTTTTTTTTCCCCCACAGCAATAGGTAGTTAAGAGCTTTAAGGTTTTTAAAGCCCTGATCATGACATAAAATCTAGAAAATGGGATTTTAGTACATAGGACTGGAATGGATATTAGTTCATGACATAAATAAATCCCTGGAGTTTTAGCTGTCCATCACTTTCACATGAAAAAGCATAGTAGGAAACTATTGGGAAAAAGTCAATTTAATCCTGTGTTAGTAAACGTTTGTGTGCAGATTATAGGAATGATTTTCCCAGCACCTGAAAGACAAAGTTTATCATTTCCCAAGGCTTCAGAACTAGAACCAAAGCTGAAAATCAGAGATAAAGATGTTTCCCTAAAACAGAAAAGTTAAACTGAACTGCCTCACAACAAAATGATTGCCTGATGCAGTATATCCCTAACACTGAAAGAGGAAATCAAGAATATTCCTGGATTTAGCCCTGACTGGTTTGGCTCAGTAGATAGAGTGTCAGCCTGTGGACCAATGGAACCTGGTCAAGGGTATGTACTTTGGTTACAGGCTCCTTGAGATGTGTTTTTTTTCACATTGATGTTTCTGTCTTTCCCTCTCTCTTCCACTCACTCTAAAAGATCAATGGAAAAAATATTCTGTATGAGGCTTAACAACAAATACAACAAAAAATATTGGATTTATATGGGAGGTACAACTCGATGACCTCCAAAATTTCCTTTTAGCTCTTCAAGACTCTATGGTTTTCATAACTAGAACATATATTGGGTAATGGCAAAATGAGACTTTGTATTGGCTATATCACTATATAAACCTGATACTACAGAAAGATCTGTTTAATAGAGAATCACCTTTAAAAATTTCATATACAATATATAGCAACACACTTCATTACAACGAACACTTTAGGCAGTTCCACAGAACTGATTATAGTTAAGATTTATCTTCTTTAAAATCATGACATTAGTGATATGTAAGTATGATTTCATTCTTTTCTCCATCTTGAGAAATTCTAATTTCATTTTAAGGTTTGGATCAAAAATTTCTACCAGAGAGCAAACTTTTGATATAAAATGGGGATAAATAATAAATATCTCATAGGATTGTTAGAGTAAATGAGATGATCCATGCAAAATCCTGACACATAGGTTATTTAAAATGTCAGATACTATAATTCACAATATATGGCTTCATATCACTTACCCCTATATTACTGGCTTAAACACTTGTATCCCCCTCTAAATTATGAGCATCTTAGATGCAGGCAAGAGCCACATCCTTCAGCATACCTTCAGAGTTCACCCACAGTAGATACACAGCAATAATTAACATCTTCATAAATCTTACAAGCAAAACTATGTTGTACAAACTATAAAGTCATAGCATTCTGAAACTGGAAGAAATCTTTAAAATACTTACAAATGAGAAAGCTATAACTCAAAATGATACAGCAACTTGCCTAATGTTACATAAAGTAACAGCAATAATTCATTTAAAATATATATTTTATTGATTTTTTACAGAAAGGAAGAGAGAGGGATAGAGATTTAGAAACATCGATGAGAGAGAAACATTGATCAGCTGCCTCCTGCACACTCCCCACTGGGTATGTGCCTGCAAACAAGGTACATGCCCTTGACCAGAATCAAACCTGGGACCTTTAGCCTGCAGGCCGACGCTCTATCCATTGAGCCAAACTGGCTAGGGCAATAATTCATTTTTTTTTTAAACTCCAAATTGAATCTTTTAGAGATAACCTGTACAAAATTGTTTCAAAGATATTTGAAACACTGGTATCCCATATAATGATCAACTGTGTCACACCCATTGTTTTAAAACCATATTAGACAACTAGGTACTGATTTTGTTGGAGGTGGCAATATGCCCAACTGAACAAAGGCAAATTTCCAAGTCTCCTTTGCATGCAGAGGTAGTAGAGTGACTACTTTCTAATCAAAATAAAACAAGACTTTTGACTGGTGTCCTGGAAAAAGTTAAAAATATCTATAATCCATACAAAGTGGCTCTAGCCTGTATCCATTATAAACAGTCGTAGTCATCTTCCGATTTTTAAAACTATAATTCAGTAACTGTTCAGCTAGCTTATTCTAAGTATTCAAAAAGACAGATGACCACCACATTATTAACTCACATCTCTATAGAATAGAAATTAAAAAATGGAAAGGTTATTTTTCTATGTCCAGAACTTAGTTATACACATATTTCCAGTGTTAGCTTGCCATCTTGTGGCCTCTTATTCCTGTGCAGCTCAGTATCTAAGCACCACCTATGGTAAGGCCTATGAAATTGATGAGCTTTATACACACTCACATCCAGTTTTATTTATTTATTAAATATATTTTTACTAGAGGCCCAATGCACGAAATTGGTGCAAGGGCCTTGGCCCCAGCCCCAGCCCCCTGCCCCGCCACAGCCAGGGGCTTTTGCCACCTCTCCCTCCCTCAGCCCCACCCACTGTGGCTTTGTCTGGAAGGCTTTTATTATTATAGATTGATTTCAGAGAGGAAGGGAGAGGGAGAGAAACATCAATGATAAGAGAGAATCATTTATTGGCTACTTCCTGTACCCCCTCACACTGAGGATGGAGACTGCAATACGGATATGTGCCCTGGACTGGAATCAAACCTGGAACCCTTCAGTCCACAGGCCAATGCTATATCTGCTGAGACAAACTGGCTAGGGCCACACTTACTTTATATGCAGCATGTAAGTTAATCACACCTGCAATGTCAATCAAGACCAACTTTCTTCCAGCAAAGGTTGACAAGCCTTAAGTCAGAAAGCAGCACAATTACTTTATCAAAGTGCTAGCTACATGTGAATTACCTAATTTTAAACATATGCTCTGTGAGACAAGTGCTCAAAAACCATCTGTATACTTATTAAATATAACATTTGTACATCTCCTGAAAAGGAGTGCACTTAACTTTTTTGTTGAAGCCAATGGGATCAGAAAGGAAGTGAACTTCAGGATTTACATGTACTTCACCAAGTCTAAATAATGGCATGGTCTTTCTTTCACTGACAACAAACATTATGAAATCTAGAACAATGTCTGCTTTCTCTGTTGAAGATACGCATGCCCAAGTGCACACGCACACAAAGTATTATGACTACTATGTAAAATTTCCTTCAAGCAATATACTAAGAATTGTTTGCTTAAGAACACATGGATTTCTTAGATGAGCCAGGCACATAAATAAAAACTGACAATAAACTCTCATGCCAGCTACTTCCCTTCTGTGGTTGATTGAATGAGTTGACATGTAAGGAGCTCAAAGCAGTGTCTGACAAATGGTTATTTATTATTATACTAGAGGCCCAGGGCACAAAAACTCATGCACAGGTAGTGGTGGGGATCCTTCAGCCCAGCCTGCCCCCTCTCAGTTTGGGAGCTCTCAGGGGATGTCCTACTCCCCATGGGCCTCAATCTTGCCTCCCTCTGAAGGAGGCAACCAACAGGGCTGATCAGGGGAAGGTGATGCCCCCATCACCCTGCTGCTGCTGCCGCCATTGCTGGCTGCTGCAGCATCAAGGTGTTTTCATCAGCACAGTCCAGTCCTGTCACCACAAAATGACAAACTTTCTTTAGGCATTTTTAG